ACTTTAGTCGTATATTCCCCTCTCAAGCAGGATTGGTGGGAAGCGCTTGGCCTGGGTGACGCTGAAGACTAAGATCCAGTAGGCTAGCCCAAACCAGGTCCCAGCGCCTGGCAGTGCACCCTAGCAGTGAAGCCTTCAGCAGGTTGACTGACCTGGAGGGGCGGGCCCAGCAGAGGCTACCCAGGTCTGTGTCTCCCTAGTACACTGCAGTGGGTGGGAACACCTAGCTGGCAGATTCAAACAAATGGTAACAGACAAAGAGAAAAAAACTGGGCCTCCTATATACACTTATATGGAAGGAACAAAAAGTATGGGAAGAGGGAGCAACAAGAAAGGATCCTCAGTCCCCCATCCTGAGAACACTGATCCAGGAAAGGTAAATGCAAAGGAGAATGAGGACAGAAAACATGCAATATCAGACACAGCACCAATAGACATAAAGCAATATCTCCAGGACCTCATAGACAAGTTCAAAAGTGAAGTATTTAACCAAGTAAAGCAAGATATAAGTAGAATAGTTAGAGAAATGCTAAGCACCGCCCAAGAAAAAACAGATGGTGGAATGGAAGAACAGAAAAAAAAAGGGGGGGAGAATTGTTTGATGGAGAAAATAGAGAAAACATAGAATACGTGAAGCAGGTTCAAAGAGATTACCAGGAAACTAAAAACTCTATTGAAAGCTGGCATAACAGCTTGAAAGAAACTAAGGATAGATTATCTGAATTGGAGGGCAGACTTGTAACATGGGAGCATGAAATGAAAAACTTCTTAAAAATAACAAGAAAACAAATAGCAATAACACAAAGGCTAGAAGATGATAAGAGGATCTACAACCCAAGAATTAAGAACATAAAAGAAGAAGTAGGGACACAAACAAATGGACTACAAAAGCTATTCACAGAAATAATCCAGGAGAATTTCCCTAATTTAGCAAATGGTAAAGATACTCAGATATATGAGGCATACAGGACCCCAGTCACCTACAGCCCAAACAGAGCTACACCCAGGCATACAATAATCAAAATTCCAGAAATCCAATATAAGAACAGAATATTAAAAGCCGTCAGAGACAAGAAACAGATCATTTACAAGGGAACACCCATCAGAATTACAGCAGACTTCTCAGCACAAACCATCAAATCACGAAGAGCGTGGGGGGAAATAATTCAAGCTTTGAAAGATAACAACCTCCAGCCAAGATTGATATATCCTGTACAACTGTCCCTATAAATTGATGGAAAAACAAGGTGCTTCCAGGATAAAGAAGAACTAGGGGAATTTGCAACCATCAATTCAACTCTACAGAGAATACTGCAGGATATTCTAAAAAAGGAAAATACCAAGACTTCAGAAACAGTGGCAGAGAGGCCACAATGAATGGAGCAGAAAGTGAAATGAAGAAGACACACTGACAATTAATGACAGAAAAAGAGCTCAACAGAAATGAGACAGAGAAAGCTGGATGGTAGGAACAGCTATTTTGGAGAAAACAAGACATCATAATAGCTAGTGCTGATTTAATACCATCTTATTTTGAAGTCCAATCAAGCTTTTGTTCTTCTGTCTCCATCGGTCTTAACAGGTTATATCTTATTGGATTTTATTATATGTGACAATATAAACAAAAACTTTTATAGACAAGGAGATTATACAGAAACCATTGTTCATTTTCTGTTAGTTGGTTCTAAATACCCTGTAATACTGTCATTCTCCTCAACGGTTTTACATTGTCTTGATATGTTTGATGCTACAGTATACGAAGTTATACTCAAAAGATTTCAAAGAAAGAGACACTATGGTAACTACTTTTATGTCGGGATTATCTTGTGAAACACTATTTTGCTTAAATGGTTGTGTTTTGACCTGCGCTGTTTTGTTGTTATGCCCTCTTTTATCTCAATCTCCTTTTTTTATTATTTACTTTTTCATTTTTATTCTTTTAATTAAGGGAAAAATAAATAAAAAATAGCAAGCTATATTATAGTATCCCACTTTGATTTCCTATTAACTTGATTTGAAACTCTGTATTGCTGTCACTGTCTTGTTTTGACTGATTTTACTCTATTCTGTTTTGTTTGATAGTACCAAGTTCGAAAGTATAGGCAACAACTGTAAAGACCATAAGATTCATTCTGACGCCCATTCTGGTTTGACTATTATCTTCTTTTAAAGTCCTCTAATGTCTCCAATGTTTTGGTTTTATTGGTTTTGTTCTTTACTGTTTAGTTCAATTTTGTTATAACTGATTATATAGGCAATTCTTTTTAAGATAGCAAGAGGCATTATGGTAACCATTGTTGATCACCTTGTATTGTTTTTACATTATGTATTATGTCCATCCTTTTGATTTGACTGTTTTATTATGTCACATTTGGTTTTATTCTCTTCAAAATACTAAGAACTGTGGGAGTAATAAAACCCAAAATGTGTAATTGTCATTGTACAAAAGAGGAAAATAAAGTGCTCTAAAGGACATAACTGCATGTATATTTAAGTGTATAAGATAGATAACCATATTACTGAGTTTTGTTGGATCATTGAACAGAACTGTCTTCAGTCTCACTGTTTGAATGTCCACTTTATATGCTTTAATTTTGTAACTTGAACAACTATTTCTAAGATGACAATATGTAATCTATTAGTGATTTCCTACTGTTTATTTTTTCTGAAATTCTGTATAACTTGCACCCTTTTTCTGTTTCTGTTTTTGTTTTGTTTTGTTTTTTCCTTTTTCTCCTTAAATAAAATTTTTAAAAAACATAACACAGGGCATCAGCTACGGAGCAGTCACTTTGCAAGGACAGTGAGAGTGGGGGAGAGTGACTTACGCACATCCTCCCGACTGCCCTTCAGGGCCATCTGGAACCGTCCACCGGACCCACGCAGCAATTTCCTGAGACTTCTTCCCCAGTGAAAATAAACTCTTGCCAGGCATGACAGTGCATGCCCATCATCGGGAGACTGAGGCAGTAGGATCGCCACATGTTCAAGACCAGTCTGGGTACCCACACTCTGTCTCAAAACAAAACACACACTCGAACAAAGTAAATAACCCCCCCACCCCCCCCCAACTGCTAGTGAGAGTCTGGAGGCTCAGGCAGCACATGCCGCTGCCCTGGGGACTCATCAGGGTTTCAGGGCGGAAGCCATGTCCATTTTCACCAGCAACGCTGGCTGCTCTGTCCGTGCTTCTCTCCCGCAGGTCACCCCTAACAGTGGCTTTGCCCCCAGGTTCCATAGCACAGGTACGAGGTGGCCCCACACCCTATCCAACCGGGTGGCTCGACCTGCTGTGCTGCCCCTTGACTGAGACCGGAAGTTAACCGAGTCTCTGAGGCCCAGGGAGACCTTTCCGTGAGCGAGAAATTACCTTATTTGCAGGGGAGAAGGACTGGCTCCCCCTGCTTTGCAGGCCCTTGGCCCTTCCGTGCCACCAGGAATCCACGCGAAGGGTCTCTGAATGCTGTCACCTAGAAGACAGCCTAGGACACGTGAACAGGGACCCATCCAGCAGCTGCCTGTGTCCCCACCGCTCCTCCGAGAAACGACTGGTTTTGTGTTCAGGCCGAGCCTTAGGGGAGGCTCAGTTAGTTGGCTTCGGTCAGCAAACTTCCATTAGAAAGGCCCAGGGGCAGGGGGTTGGTGGCATTGGGAGAGGCAGACAGGGAGCCCCCAGCCTCCCCTACCAGCATGCTTTTCACACAGCTGGGCAGGAGGACTGGGCTCCCTCGCCCCAAACCAGCCAAGATCACCCCAACAAAGGATCATCCAGAAACCAAAGCAGAAAAATTCCCTTTCCAGTGAAAGCACATCAAAATGAACAACTCCCAACACCCCCGAAAGCCCCCACAGCAATGAGAACGTCCCAGAGGGGGACAGCGGCCTGGAGGGTGGTGGGTTTCTTCTGGTATCACAGCAGCCCTGCAATCAGCCCAAGGCAGACGGTGCCACACACCTGCTTCATCCCCAGCATCCCTGGCTGCTTCCACACCTGCCAGCACAGGCTCAGCCCGGGGTTCAACCCCTGGTGCCGGAAAAAGCATTGAAGAGGTACAGGTGACCCAAGTAGATTGTTAGAGACCACATGTTGCTGATATTCCACAGAGATAAGATGCTATTCAAAGCACCCAACCTGTAGAAGCCCAGGCCACCATTTAGCACAGTTAACATGTCTGGGATAGTAGCACACACCTATGATCCCAGCACGTGGGAGGCTGAGGCAGGAGGATCTGTCAGTCATGGGTATGCATGGGCTCCATGAGTCCCCAAATCCACACACACGCCAGCCCTGAACTGGGCCACCAGAGCCACCTAATATAGTGGCACGGCACCTACAGTATCACCACAAAGGAAGACTTTCCTTCCCTTACAGTAAGATGCCAAGATGCTCTGGGAAACGAAGGAACCAGAAAGGAAAACCTTCTCCCCTCAGGCCACACAGCATATATCACTCAACAGGAAAGAAGTCTTGGACTACCTAAAATGTGTTTCAGCACTGACCCTAAATCTCAGATAACATCGTTCAGTACAGTTTTAGGGTCCAAGCAGGTGTGGCGGTACATGCCTACAATCCTAGCTCTTGGGAGGCTGAGGCAGGAGGATGGCTACAAGCTCGAGACCAGTGTGGGATTAAGACAGTGAATCCAAGTTCAGCTTGGACTAGGCGGCAAGACTCTTTGTTTTTTTGAAAAAAACATAAATTTAAAAAAATACTGAATCCTTTTCACCTACCAAAGCTGTTACCAACACACGCACAAAGCACTAATTATTCTGTGCATCAGATTTCACGTAAACCAAGATGCAGACAGTTCCCAGGCATGGCACGTGCTTGTTTTATATGAAGACCCACAGCCAGGTGTAGCATCAAGAGAAAACTGGAAGGGAAGGGTCTCAGAATGCTGTCACCTAGAAGACAGCCTAGGACACATGAACAGGGACCCATCCAGCAGCCGCCTGTGTCCCCAGCCACAGGAAGGGAAGGGAAGGAACTCACCATAAAAGAACACAAAACAATACCCTTTTATTTTAAAAACTCTGGTGAGACAGTTTTCCATAGGACATCCCATTTAAAAAAAAAAAAAAAAAAGAATGTAAACCAACCTGTGGGTTAGTCACGCTATACAACTTTCGAGTGTCTACAGATGCCCAGAATATTTACAAATGCTATTCGTTAGGTAGTAAAGTTCTTCCAGCATGTATTCCACAGTCCAAAGAGGGGGTACAATGGGGTTCTTGTATAAAAATCCTTAACAAATGGAGAAAGGCAATTTTTCCTGAGAAGATTTGTTCTTGAAATCGGTTTTCTTCAACAATTGGGAATATTAGAAATGGGATGTGTTTGTAAAAGAAGCATAAGAATGTCTAAGTTAACATTGTTTCTTAAATTATTTTAAGTACCATTAAGTTAAAATGTTTACATTCATTATAAAAATGCTGTTAAATCTTATGCAAATGATTTAACACTGATTGCTGCAACGCAAATTGCACTTTTTAAAAAAATTATTGTATACATGGAAGAAAAATATTTTGTTTGCTACCCTGTTTACAAATGGCGACCTGCCTCACAGCGGTCACGTGAGCTGAACGTGGAAGTCAGTCACAGTGTAGTTAGAGTTAGATGCGGCCTTGCAAACTGAGCCGTGCGCTCCACGAGGCCCTGGAACCGACCCAGCCCCCACGACCTGCACGAATGTGGCCTCCCACGGTGTCTCCATGAAGCTGGCTTGGGAGCAGGTGTGAAGAAATTCTGGAATAACCAACAGATCAGAAGAAGCACATGATTTGGGACAAAACATATGAAGCTGCTCCTTAAAACTCTCCATCCTCCTTAGCAGGTGAGGCCGGCACCGGCCCGGGGCTGCAGGTCGGCTGGAGGTGGCCCCGGCGCTTCGGGCCTGGACGAGCCCTTTCCCGTGTTTGCGAGCCTCCCGGCGAGTAGGTCCCTTTCAAAGCAAAGGCACTGAATCCCGCATCCGAGGAATGTTCAGTCTGCGTGATCACCACCGTGGGGATCGGGGTGCTGCCTCCCCGCCTCCAGCCGCGCAGCTCAGGCCAGGGCCAGAGCGCACCAGGAATCCTGCCGCACGGAGGACGTGACTTCGGCCGGCGAGGCCATACTGACGCCAATGTAGAGCCCGTCCTGACCCGAATACTTGAGCTCACTGCCCTCGGGGTTGGTGCCCTCGGCCGCGCTGGACATCACTGGGGCTCCCGCCTGGAGAACGTAGGGACAGAGGGGAGAGATAGTTAGGTCACTACGTCAGCTGGCCCACTGCTGCTGGTCCCACACAAGGGACACAGGGCTGGCCGTGCAGCCCGGTGGAGAGGAGAGAGACGCAGCCGGCAGGCGCTCTTCACTGGGCTGCAGCTGTCACACGGGGCCACCAACCTGACCCTGGCACATACAAACATTCCTCTGTTGACTGCCATTTTTTTTGAGACAGGGTCTCACTGTGTAGTGCAGGCAGGCCTCGAACTCACTGTGTAGCCCAGGCTGGCCTTTAACTCATAGTGATCCTCCTGCCTCGGCCTCCTGGTGCTGGGATTACCGGTGTGCTCCACCATGCCTGGCCCCTCTGTTAACTTTTGAGCTCAATAACTGGCCAGGGACGTGGCTCAGTGATAAGAGCACCTGCCTCCCATGATTAGGTCCTGGGTTTGATGCCCAGTGCCACAAAACAAACACAGCAACCTCAGGAACCACCTGGCAAGACGCAGAGCCGGGCAGAGAAGAGGCTGGCAGAGTTCTGCACTAACCCGGCGGAGTCCAACACCTCAGCGGGTGCAACACCGCACACACCGCACAGCACAGCGGCTCCGTCCAAGCGGAAAGAGCAGCGCGCAGGTTTCTGAGCGCGGCCCTCCTCTGGCTCAGCGCATGCGCGCTCCAGCTGACCAGCTGCCTCACTCTGCGCATGCGGGCCGCGGGGCTGCAGACCACCGCATCAGCAAAGGCCTGCTCTCCTAACCAGCACCAGTCGAGCCGTGATTCCTCCAGCAACAAGTACGCCTTCCAGTATCTTCTCATCCACAGGAGCAAGGCCAAAGAGAAAACAGCCTGTCCCTTTGCAGACAAAAACCAAAGGAACCGCAGTGTTCAGGCGGGGTACTCTGGGCGGAGCGCGGCCTTTCCCAACCAGTGACCCAGGCACAGCCTCCTGCACGCGTGGGCAGCTCCCTGTGGTCCAAGTGGTTTTTCTGTTGCACGCTTGATCGCATTAGGCCTTTCTCTGGCTGTGTGGTGTCCCCGCCACTGGAGGACCCAAGGCCACACTCCCCTACCCTCACCCCGCAAACTGCGGTTCTTCCTGGCTGCACACACCCCAAGGCGCCCCAGGACAGCAGCTGGCCGGTCCCGGCAGGCATTTTGCCTTCAGCCCTGCAAACTTCCTCCCCACGACCAACCAGCCCTGGCCCTGACCCTCACTCCTCGAAAAAACGATGGCTTCAGAGAACCCAGCAATGATAGCACTCCCATGTGGAAGACTACCCTGAGAGGCAACAACAAAATTTCCTGAGGTGATTGAGCTGTCTACAGTAGAAAATGGGCCAGGTGTGGTGGCGCATACCTGTAGTCACAGCACAAAGGAGGCAGAAGCAGGAGGATTGCTGCCAGGCTACCCTGAACAAACCAACCAAGACCCAGTCTCCAAAAACAACAGCGATCAATTGTGGCTAATAATTCCACAGCCATTGTTATAAGCAAGCTGGTGTGAGTCTAGATTTAAGCCCAGATGACAACATTCAATGACAAACCATTTGCTTGTTTTAGAAAGAAACCTGGGGCTCACAGAAAAAGAATTCCCTGAAGCATTTAGGTCACACCCACCCTGACTCAGCCTCTTCTCTAGCCGTACCCCCGTACTCCCGGGCCTGACCAGGTGCCCTGAGCATGAGAGGCAGAGAGGCCCCGGGGTACAGGAGACCAGGCCAGTGGACACAGCCACCACTCTGTGGTCACCAACATGGACCATATTAGCAAAGTTCCCACCAGGACCAGGATCGCCAGCTAATGGGAACAGGGCAGTCACTGACCCTGAGTGACAAACTGGCTGACACAGGGAGGCAGCAGAGCAAGATCAGGAAAGGGACACAGGGGCAGAGACTTCCCGAGAAGGTCGAGGCCACCACTCAGGAAGCTCGGGTGTAAATCATGGTCAGGTCAGTCACTTTACTGAGTAAGGTCACCTCCCTCAGCTCCTCCTCTGTGTGAGGGTCTTCGATCCTGAAATCCTCAGGGTTGGCTATGACAATTAAATTGGGATCACTGTCTGGCGTGGTGGCACACACCTGTAATTCTGTAACCCTAGCACTTGGGAGGCTGAGGCAGGAAGACTACAAAAGTTCAGGGCCAGCCTGGACTACATATTGAGGTTGCCTCAAAAAAACGAAATAAAAACACTGAGCCTGAGTTAATTAAGACCTACTAAAGTCCTTATCCTAGTGTCTGACAACAGCGGTGATGCTCACATAAGCTACTACTTCTGTGGTTAAGGCAAAGGACCTAGGCCCTGTGTTCTGCCAAGTACCCTCTCCCAGCCAGGAACAAAAGCCAAAGGGACCCATCCAGAGAAGAAGTCACCCAGGGTCGTCCTGTCCCAACTGTTACTGCCAGTTCTTCACAAAGATACCAAAGACTCCAGCAACCACTCAAAAGGCCCGTGGCTCTTTTGAAAAAAAGCCACATTAGAGAAATCTTAACACCTTGATGTTATTCTTACACTTGAGCAGTAATCACAAAAGCTATCTGTTGAAATACCTTTTATCTTCCTTTTCAGACAATGTTAGGCATTATGCAGGCCCAGAGAGCCACAGAGGGCAGACAACCCCCAAATTCAACCCAAGGACATCAGCACCAGTGAGATCAAGAGCAACAGCCTAGCCAGGCAAGGTGGTACACAGCTGCAATCCCAGCACTCGGGAGGCTGAGGCAGGAGGCTTTCAGTGAGTTTGAGGCCAGCCTGAGCTATACAGTGAACCTTGTCACACACACACACAAAAAAGCAGTAAGCTGTCTTTCAAGAAAAAAAAAAAAAAGAAAGAAAAGGTGGGTAGTATGAGGAGCTAGTGCCTAAGTGTTGACAACTTTAAATAAAGCACATAACAAATAAACATGAAATGCTACAAGGAATTTTTTGCTCATGCAGAAGGCTGACATTAGGCAATCACACCAGTCCCCCCCCCCCCCCGTCCTTGGCAGGCGGGGCTAGAGTATGTCCACAGGCAGCAGTCCTGTCCTACAACTTCAAGAAGTCTGCACCCTGCTTCACCCCGTAGCCTTGCTTCTGGGGTCTCACGTGGAAATAATCCAGAAGAAAGGAAAGGTCCCACAGGGAAGCCAGCCGCCGCCGGCTGTGTCCAGCATGGGCGCAGTCCATGGTGTGTAGGTAAGGGGATGGTGCAGGGAGGCAGGGCACCTCTGCTGGGTGAAGCAATCAATAAAAATAATAAAACCAGGCACAAGATGAGGAAATCCCTGTCACACACTGTTACCTGAAAACCAGCTGGAGGAGAACTCTCTGTCCCACACACAGATATGTTACAGGGGACCAAGAAAGAGGTGGGGGGTGGCAGGGTTGTGGCATCCAGACCCCTCCCGAGCCCTGGACTTCGGAGACCCTAAAGCAGGGCCTGCACAGGCTAATAGAGACTCAGACAGGAGCCTCCGGGCACAGCACCTGAGGGCAGAGCCACTCTAGATGGGGTCAGAACTCTCCCTGCAAAGCCAGGGAGGAACCAATGTGGGGGCACTGCTGTGAAGATGCAGGAGGGGTCCTGTGTACCCCAGAAAGCATCTGTCTGCCTCCTGTCACAGCCTAGGGTCTGGGAGGAAGCTGTGCACTCGTGAAACACACAGCTGCACAAGTCCAACACTGACACGTACCCTCTGTGCACCTGAGTCACTTGAACAATGGAAGACCAGCAAATCCGCTGCAGCAGGGCTGGATAGCCAGGCAAGATGGCGCACACATAAAATCCCAGCACTCAGGGGGCTGAGGCAGGAGGATTGCCAGCAACTCCCCTGAGGCCCCTGGCTCATTTTATGTCCCTTTCCATCCTGGGTCATGTTCATGAATGATCTATGAAAAATCAATACCATTTTGGGGGAAAATCAAAGAAAACTTATGACGACCCTGGAGTCAGCACCACCCAGGCACGCACAGACTTCGGCCGGTTAACATTTCCCTGCACTGAATTAAATCTAGCACTTCTCAGTTCAGGTGGAGCACCTGACCCAACCTCAGCCAACCCTCCCTCCTTGCAGCTTGGACTGGGTAGTCAGCAGCCACTGGCCAGGCCAGGTCCCCGCTTTCTCAGGATCAAAGTGCGAGCCAAGGGTGGAGCTGAGGTCTGCTGTTCCCATCCCGGCTTATCTCCCCGCAGCCTGGCAGGACAGCTGAGAACAGCGCTTCCTGTTGAAAGAATGTTATCAGCCTGGCGAAGCCCAGCCTGGCCTGTAGGTGCAGAGGCGGTGGGCTGGAAAACTCCCTCGGAAAGGAAGAAATGACCCAGGGACAGCACAGCGGCTGGTGCAGCCTGCACAGGGTGAGAATCCCTGGCCTGGGAACCAGGCACACCCGGACCTCTTTCCTGTGGAATTTATCGAAAAAATCCAAGACCACTGGGCATGGCAGTACAGGCCTGTAATCCCAGCAGCCCGATCGCTTTGAGTTTGAGGCCAGCCTGAGCTCCACAGTGAGTTCAAGGCCATCCTGCTCTAAGCACTGAGACCTTTCTCAAAAAAATAAATAAAATAATGTTTAAAAAAAAAAAAAGCCAAGACTTGCGCATGCATACTCTCTGTCTCTCTCTCATTGCTTTTGCTGTTCACCACCATGAAGTATTACTGCTGTCTGCCACATGCCATGCTGCCCCGGATAGAGTCAGCCAGTTATGGCCTGAAACCTCCACAAACTATGAACTAAATAGACCTTTCCTCCTTAAAAAAAAAAAAAAAAAAAAAAAAATCCAAGATTTATGATGCCATACACGCATGAATTCAAGTACCCAGTGGAGTATCTGGCTGCTTGTGAGTTTCTGGAAAGTTGCAGTCCTGTTCTATTTGTTTTTTGAGACAGCGTCTCACTGCGTAGCTCAGGCTGGCCTTGAACTCGCCGTGGAGCCCAGGCAATCCTCCTGCCTCAGCCTTCCTGAGTGCTGAGATTACAGGTATGCTACCATGCTCAGCTATAAAGTTCACTTTTGAGGAAGAAA